GCCACGACTAGCTTTTTGCGAGTTGAGCATTTTCTGGAACTCAGCGCGCTCGTCGTCCTTTTCCTTTGCCTCTTTGGCGGCGCGGAAACGACGCGAACGCTGCTGGTTCATCTTGGCACGAGGCGCAACGCCATCGACTGCCATGTAGAGAAGCTTACGGGGACGGACCATGCCGACACAGCGATCAGTGTATTCAAAGATGGCCATCATCATGTCGGCCTCGGTCTTGGGCGCGGGCTTATCTTCGGGATGCGAGCAAGGATGCACGATGCCGTTCATGTCGAGGTAGAGGTTGTCGAACTCTTCGCCGTTGGGATTGGGGCCGGTGCGGTCTACAGGAATGACGTTGTCGCCGACCTTCTTGGGCAACTCCTCCTGCACTGTTGAGACGATCTTGGGGTATTTCTGGCTGAGCCAGCGGAACATGGCTGGGACACCCATGATGGCGGTAGGCGCTCGGTGGCGCGCGGCGTGTGAGGGTGAAGGGTGGCTATAGTGAGACTGTAGCTGGAGGGTAGTAGTGCGAGTGCGATTGCGATGAGTGCGAGAGCGCGTGTACTAGTAGTCTGGAGTGTGTGGTAGTGCTGCGACGATGCGCGGTGGAAAGAAAAAGACTGCCTGATGGCGATGAAAGCCCTTTCCTCCTCTTGGAGCGCCGGATGCGATATCCAGTGCGGCGATATGAGTGCTAGTGCCGCAATCTCCGTCGGCGCGCGATCACCGAATGTGCGCACGATGGTTGATGGGAGGTGGTGATGGGGGGAGAGAGGGAGAGGGAGCGGCGATGGAAGACGCGCTCTTTCCTTGGGATCGCGGCCGGGACCCTGAAGGTCGCGGTTTTGCCGACTCGCCGACGCCGCAGGGATGTGGAGGAGCCGCGAGCCCGTGCGCCAAATTATACGTGGAGCTCCACACCGAGGGGCCTGCGCTACAACGGGACGACTACGTTTCTATGGGAGAGTCACATGCATGACTAAACACTCGTCGTATATTCTACCATGAAGCCATAGCCCTGACAATCGCCCAAGATGATGCGCGTTCTCGAGGCCAATGCGCCTCCGAAGCAGACGGCAACCGACACCATCAGCACTCTTAGTGGGAGGCTGACGAGCGCAAGCCTCCTCGAAGACCGTCGCGCTGCCATCCTCGGCCTCCGGAGCTTCGCCAAACAATATCCTGCCTCGGTCGCTTCGGGCGCGCTCAAAGGGCTCATCGCCTCGCTGACTAAAGATGGCGACGACGTGGACACGCTCAAGGTGGTGCTCGAGACGCTGCTCATGCTCTTCCACCCCGACGAGACCAGCCACGAGGCCTCGGAGGAGTTGGAATTGCTGCTGGCCGACCAGTTCTCACAAGTAGGTCCCGCCCTGCTACATATCTACTAGTGCTGAGCTTATGATAGCGGCAAGACAACATCACTCTCTTGCTTGATCTCCTAGACAAGCCCGACTTCTACTCTCGCCTGTACTCGCTCCAACTGATACGCGCCATCTCCCTCGCCCGCCCTCAACGAACCCAGGAATGCGTCCTCACAGCCCCCGGCGGCATTGAGCGCCTGGTAGCCACCCTGGACGACCCCCGCGACGCCATCCGTAACGAAGCCCTTGTCGTCCTTACCGATCTTTCCCGAACCTCTGCCGAACTCCAGAAGCTTTTCGTCTTCGAGGATGCCTTCACCAAGGTCTTCAATATGATACATGCCGATGGCGGCCTTACTCAGGGTGGGGTTGTGGTTCAAGATTGTTTGAGTCTGCTGGCTATCCTCATACGCTTCAACGTGTCTAACCAGACCAACATAAGAGAGATGGGCCATGTCGCCAGGTTTGCCGCGCTGCTACCCGGCGGCAACAAGCCGAAGAAGGCACGCGCAAGTGTTGAAGAAGAGGACGACTGGGTCAGCCCGCAGAGCGACAAGAACATCTGGGGGCTGCTCGCCATAATGCGCATGTTCCTCGCCAAGGGCAGCCCGGGCACACTGCAAAACCAGAACGTCTTCCAGCAGCATGGCCTTGTCCGCCAACTCCTCAACATCGCTTTCGACCCCGCTACCGCCATGCCCATCAAGATCGAGGCTCTCAACACGTGCGCGGATCTGATCAGAGGCAACGCTCGGCTCCAAGAAGGATTCGCTCAAGAGCAGGTCAGGCCCATTGTTGAGCCTCCTACGAACGGCGTCACTTCTCCCAACGGCGTACCTTCCGTATACGTTATTGAAGCGCTTCTGAACCTGGTCCTTTTTCCGGCGCCGAACGACCTGTTCGACCTGCGTAATGCAGGATGCGAGTGTATCAAGGCTTACTTCTACAACCACAGACAAATACAAGAACACTTCCTCAACCGAGCCATCGGTGGTCACGAAGGCGGCGACGAAACAGCGAATGCTCTTACAATCTTAATGGCCGGACCCCAGGTTCCCCCAACTGGCGACCCATACAGGATCTGGTTTGCCTCAAACCTAATCTACCATCTCATCTTTGATGACTATCAAGCGAAAGACACTCTGATGGGGGTCAAGGAAGGAGATGCAGAGAGCGGTGAAGAGGTCGTCACTTGCATACAAACGCTCACGGCCAACCTCATCGCAAGTCTGCAACTTGGAGAAGACGAGCGCATATCGGTAGCCTACCTGATGCTATTGCTAGGCTGGCTATTTGAGGATGCCGCTGCAGTAGATGATTTCTTAGGAGAAGCTAGCAGCCTGCAAAGTCTAGTACAAGCCGTCCTGACCCCTGGAGAAGACCGAGTCATGATCCGCGGTCTTTGTGCTGCACTGCTGGGAGTCGTATACGAATTCTCAACAAGGGACTCACCTGTGCCACGACGCGAACTACAACCAGTTCTCATGACGAAGCTCGGTCGTGACAAATACCTGGACGCAATAACCGGATTACGACGTCATCCGCTGGTACGAGACTTTGAGGTCTTGCCCCGGACTGCCGGCGGAGGTGGTGGTTTGCCGGACATCTTTTTCGACGAGGCCTTTGTAGACTTCCTCAAAGACAACTTTAGCCGACTTTCGCGGGCTATCGATCGCAATCCGAATATCGAACAGCACCAGTCACATGATGGTGTTGATCGAGATGTAGTCGATGCACTTCGTGGCGAGAGTAACGAGAAGGAGCAAACCATCCAAGAGCTCAAAGCACAACTAATGACTTTGGAGCAGAAGATAGACCAGGAGCAGGCGGAGCATCGCAAGACACAGCAGTCGGCCGAGGAGCAACGCAGCACCTTGAAGCGCATCAACGATAAGTTGCACGACGATCTCGACAAGGAAGTTGCGAAGAAGGATCGCGAGCACCGACAAGCTATGCTGGAAATGGAGAACAAGTACAATCTTCAAATCGTTGCGCTCAACAACAAGGTCCAACAAGCGAGCAAGGACGCCAATCTAGCGATCGCAAAGGTCAGACAAGAGTACGACGAGCAGCTCCACGACGCACATAGAACACGCACCGAATTAGAGCGTCGGTTGGGCGCCTCAGAGAAGGCCCGCCAAGAAGCCATCGAGAACATCCGTAACCTCGAACACACACTCATACAAACCCGCACCGAAGTCGCCACCATCACCGAATCCCTGCGCAACGCACAAACGCACGTCCAAAACAGCGAAGCCCAGCTTCAGATCCTTACAGAGGAGAAAGAGACGCAGCTCAGAGAGCTCGAAGAAGAGAAAGAGATTCAACTCAAGCAGCTCAAGGAAGAGACGGAGCAGTCCAAATCCACTCTCGAAGCGCAACTCAAGCAATCCACATCCGATAAGGAAGCTCTCCAATCCACTATCGATAAACTCAAAGCCGAGAACCAGGATCTGAAGACAAAAGCGCAGGATCAGACTTGGAAGGTCAAAGAAGCAGAGGAGAAATTGCGTAAAGCTGAAGCTGCAGCAGCTGCCGCGAAGTTAAACCCTCAGAAGGGCAAGGCTGGCGCTGGAGGTGCAAGTGAAAAGGAACTCAAAGATCTCAAAGAGAAGCTGCGTAAAGCGGAAGAGGCGGAGAAGGAGAAGGCGACGGAGCTTGAGGATTTGATCATGGTGCTGGCTGATCTTGAGGAGAAGAGGACGAAAGACAAGGTATGTTGTTTACGTTCGTGTGAAGAGTCGATGAGAGATGGGGCTAATGATTGTAGGAACGGCTTAAGGCTCTTGGAGAGGAGGTTTCGGATGCGGAAGATGATGATGATGATGATGATGATGATGATGATGATGACGATGATGACGACGATGATGACGATGAAGAGGATAGTGATGAGGAAGAAGAAGATGATGATGAGGACGACGAAGAGGAGAAAAAGAAGTAGATTGGCTCGATTAGACGCAAATCGATCCGTCTTCGCTATCCATCATGACATCTGTTCTTCGGTCTACATCGCGTCTTCCACACGAACGAGCTCGATGCTCCTGGACCAGAGTTCTCCCTAGAAACATACATCCTGAAGGTATTCGCTACGCTGTCTTTGTACTTACGACAAAGCACATCTCTGCCATTGCGTTCCGGGTAGACTTTCGATGATGCGTTTTCCTCTAGGCACGTGGTTATTGAAGAAATCATGTGTCTCGTTGGTGTTGCCTGAGGTGTGAGTGGCAGGTATCTAGACGCAAGCGCATCCTCAGTCGCTACACAGGGTGGCGGATTAGCAGAGAAGGTAAAATACATGTCTTGTGATGCGCGTCTTTCATGATGAGCGTTGGGTATAACTGAAATCACGCCCAGCACTGATATTCCCCATGAAGATTGGGCCGCCTCCAGATAAAACAGCGCCAGTCTGACTGCTCCCAATTTCCTGTACTCCTCCCCCCCTTCGCGCCGTTTGCCTCTCTCCCGAGCCTTCCAACTCAGATACTTCTTTGCCATCGGGTACATTAGATGCGTGCTCTGATCTGTCCGACCGCGAGACAAGTGTTCGTTCATCGGAGTCGGGTTGCATTGGGGTTGTCGCAGTAGTACTGAGCTCTCTTTTGTTTATTGCATCAACCCACAACCACAACTGCCCCCGTACTCTCACATACCCCGGATCTGTTGCTCCGCTGAACTTCGTCATGTCAGAGTGATTCTGATGAATACTAGCATTAGGATACTCCGGCAGGATCGCTGACTGACGCGGCACGATATCCCCAATCCCAGCATAACTCAACTCCTCGTAAAAACAGAATATCTCAATCCATTTCCCTTCATTGCGTCGTCTGTCTTCGAGGAGGGTGTGGAATTCTTGTTGGAGGGTTGATAGCATTTCTGAGGCTGGTTCTAGGACTGCGACGATGGCTTTGTTGGTTTTGAGGACGAGAGAGGATAGGCGGGTTAGGGGGGCTGCCCAGTCTGCTTTTCGTGAGCGGAGGTGGGGGGTTCCCATGAAGGCGATGCCGAAAGTGGAGGTGAGGAGTGATTTTACGTGCAGTTGGGAGGTGCCGCGCGAGATTAGGAGGGCTTGTTCGACGACGAGGCCGCCGAGGGAATGGGCTACGAAGATTACTGGTCGTGAGCTCTATTACCAGTTAGTAAAGAAGGCGGTGTTAGACTTGGTATTCGCGTACTGTATTTGTTTCTGCTCTTCGCAAGGATAGATCTTGTGCGAGAGATTTTCCATGGTCGCGTACGGTGTTTCCGCCCGCGGTAGTGAGGAGCTTGACCACATCTGCGTCATACCCAAAGGTGAAGATGCGCACGTTTTTGAGGTCATTCGCGAGCAGGTCTTTGGGCCAAAAGATGGAGTTTTTGTACGTCCATGTGGTTTCGCGGTTTCCAGTGAGGCTGGGCGCCTACTCTACGGTATCAGTCGCTCCTTCCGCTACCGTTTTGAGTCCGTATGCGCCTGCCGTCGAGAACAACTCCTCTGGTGGCTCCTCGGTTTGCTTCTCGCTTGCCGGCCCGCTCTTCTTCTTCCCGCTCGTCTTGAAACGGCGGAACATACCCATTTCTGGTATCTCCACGGCTTTCGAAGCTATGCGCGACAGCCTCTTACGAGTGTGTCAAGCACGAACGCGGTCTTTGTAATCAAAACCAGAATTTTTGATGGGTCACGACAGGTTTGGAAGATCTCGTAAGTGAAGATGAACTCCATGACCCGGATAGTTCGGACGATTCGAACGACGCGAAGAGTTGGACAACACGACGAGACCCTATGGAGTCCAAGCTTCGTGCTTTCGAGCTACAGAGTCCAGAATATAAGCTTTGCCAAACGTAGGTGATCAAGTGTGTTGGAATTATATAGGAAGAACTGTTGTTGATGATGCTTAGGATATGCGTAACTGCCATATCCACTCGGCGATGGGACGAGACACATCTCTTGCGCACTTACAATCATTAATACGACCCTAGTATTGCCCCACCATGGGTCACGACCTACAACGAAGGTACTTCAGACATGTCTACGTGGCAGGTTGGGCGAGGGACTACCGCTACACCCTTCTTTTTTAAGCCACTAGACCTTAATATATTAATATAAACCTAGTTTTATTTACTAAGGCGCTAGTCTAGAAGTAGATTTTTTTCTTCTATAACGCTACTCTTTTATATAAATAGTAAATATTATAAAAGTCTAAAACTAACTTATAATACTAGCTCTAACTACCTCTACTATCTTAAACTAGTTATATACTAAACCTAGTAAGTAGTATATTTACTAAGCTTACCTTTTACTACTATACTCTTTTTAAAAACTTTTTCTTAGAATTTATTAGCTACTACTTAGTAGTAAGTTAGAGAAGTAGTATCTTAATTATAGCTATCTCTTATATATAAAAGTAGAAATAACTTAATACTATAATATTAGAAACTCTACTTTAAAGTATAAACTAATTATATACTATTATTAAGCTACTTAAATATATATAAGATTATTCTAGCTACTTTTATATTCTAATAAAGTAGCTATACTTTTTTTATCTCTAATTCTTTAGGTATTACTTTAAAGAAAGTAAGTAAGTAGTAGAAAATCTTATACTATAGTAAAGAATTAAAATATAAATATAAAAATAACGCTATAAGATTATTAGATAAGCTAAAAGGTTAATAAATAATAAGCTAGGTATTTATTATTATAATAATTTAGTTATTTATTATTATAATAGAAAGTTTAAAAAGAAGTAGTAAAAGACGCGTATTTTATAAACTTACTAGTTAAGCTTTAACTATAGTTCTATAGTATAAGCTATTATAAGACTTATTATACTAACTTATTATAATAACTTATTACGTATTTATTATAAAGTTATTCTTAGCTACTATAGGTATATATAGAAATAACTACTTTAGATAAATAGCTTAGTAAACTACTATTACTAAATATCTTCTTCTCTAATATATATAACTAAAGTACGCAAAAAGACCTCTTAGGCTTAAGCGTAAAAGATAGAGAATAAGCTACTAGAAGTAAAGAGCCTTTATAGTAGCTCTACTTTTAAAGATAGTAGTATATAAGAGAATAACTCTAGCTACTACGCTTATTCTAAAGCTGCCTTAGTTTAGAGTAATAAGAATAAACCTACTATCTTATTGCAGCTTTAGCTGCATATTACAGTTGCTCTATAGAGCTTTAATTATTAGAAGAAATTGCTTCTTATTAGCCTATTAAGCTTGTCTCTTATTAGACGAAAGGCTGCTAAGATATTAGGATGCCTTTGTTAGGCTTAGCGCTTCTAGCACGTAATAAACACTAAAGGCTCCCTTTACCTCTACAACATCCTCTGCAGGCTTAATTACTATAAAGCAGGATGTATATAGGGTAAGTACAACTTATGCACTAAAGTTGCACACATTTTAGCTCTGTTTACGGGCTGTACAGACTATTTTTGTCCATAGGTACTGGCCAAACCAGGTCCATTTCCGACGGCGCGGCCCTCACTGGGATAATACCATCCGGTCTGTCCACCTTTAGCAAATACACGGAGAAAGCAGCTGTGGTCAAGAATAGTCTCATCAAATATATGGAAAGCGAAGACCGGCACAAGATGATGCGTACCATCGCCAAAGGTGAACATAGATGGTACAAGCGATTCGAAGTCACGGACGGCTTGGAGAAGCTTCCACCTGATCAATGGGAGCTCGGGATATTTTCCTTACTATACGACCACAAACTTGCAGCTCGCGCAGGCGGGAGGACTTTGAGCAAAATACGCACAGCTACCAATGTGTACCTAAATCGCCAAGAAATTGATAAGAGTCTTCGTCTCGGCGAGTACGCTGCTCCACATCAGAAGCTGAAAGTTGGTTCGCATGCGGAGAGCGCGAGAGCTCTGAGTCAGCCATGACTCAGGGCGGGGAAGCGCGCGAGCATTGGGAGGCGTTCATGGGCAAGCACCTTATTGGTGAGCGGGATTTTTTTCCCAAGTACCAAGAGGAGTGGGACTACGCCCTGCTAGGTCGTAAGCATTAGATCAGACATGCGTAGATCAGGCGGGACGTGTACAGGGATCTAGCATTCGGAATCATAGCTCTAGCGCTTCCATGAGCACTGACTAGTTACGCCCCATCCAAACCTCGCCAGAAGCGAACTTGCGATCACATGTCCTCGTATCGAGATGGTTGTCAGCAATTAGTGAACGTTATGGTATGCGATGTGGCGTTCCAATGCACATGTTCACGACTATGATGGGATTGTAACTGATACTACCTGCTGCATACTATGAGCAAAGGTGTTACTCAGCCGCGTCGTGCCTGCGTTATACCACCAGCACATTCAACAAGAAAAAGTAGCGGAAACTACATATGAATTAGGTATCAGTGACTTGCGTACATTGGGAGAAACCATGGACATGGTAGGCTAAATACCTACAGCAGAATCAACATCCGAACCCTCCCACTCCTCACAATCGTCCAAAAACTCCTCCAACACCTTCTCAAACCCTGCCGCATCTTCCCAAAACGGCGCATGCCCGAGCCCAGATAAGCCCAAGCACTCACCCCTCCAGAGCCTTTTCCACTTCACCTCCTCATCGATATAATCCAGGTTGACAAACTGATCTTCCACTCCGTTCACGACCGCGATCAACACATCAGTCGCCTCCACCACACGCTTCTGATCGCAACCCTTAGGCGGGCAATCCTTCGTCCCAGTCGCGGCATCAGCTATGAAGACTGTCGCGCGCCCATCCGTCCGCTTCGCATCCTCCAACATCCACCTCTCATAGAACTCTTCCTTGCCCGCTGCCACACCGTGTCTCAAATACAGCTCAGCCTCCAGATTGACCCAATTCCTGTTCCCCGCGAAGGTAAGCCCACCAGCCGGCATCTTGAACGCTTGAGCCATCTGCTCGGCGCCACGCGAGGGAGGGGTACCGATAAGCATGAGCCCTTTGACGCTGATCCGAGGTGCATCTTCCACCATGGGAGGATCGTCATGAGCGAGACAGGGAAGCATTTCGATCGCGATGTGACCACCTAGACTCCAGCCCATGAGCACCACAGACTCGATTCTGAGGTGCTGCAAGACACGTATGACGAGGTCGGCGTAGCCGCGATGACAGTACGTTGTCTTGACATCAGGGGCATTGGACGAGCAGCCGTGGCCGGGGAGGTCTAGAGTAACGATGCGCCAGCCCTTGTTGATTGTGGGCGACTCGATGATATGGCGGAACTGTTTGGAGGATGAGGCGTTGCCGTGTAGGAGAAGGAGGGCGGGCTGGTCGTTCTTGAGATTTGAGTCGTAGATGCTGATGAGACCGTGTGAAGTTCTCATTAGGAACGAAGGCATGATTGGGATCAAAGATATGTCCTGGTAAAGACTGTAAAGTGGAATAGCTGTGACAATGATGATGATGGTGTTGCTCTCTTTTTTGGTATATATCTCGTGGGGTAGACGTGCTACTAGAAGTTGTTCTGAAGAGACATACGAATGTGGTCATCCTGACAAACTCACACGAACTGTCACTTTTATATATATCTCTCCTCAATACTTATCGAGGCTGCCTGAGGAGACGAAGCGGCAAAGGCATTCCTCTATCTATTCGGTATTCAATTCCGTATCGAACCGGAATGCGCGCCGTCATGTCCCCGTTTTAGTTCGTACCAATAACGAGCGAAATCGAGCCCAAGACTTGAGTGCCGGACATCCTAAAAGGCATCGTGGAAACGTATTCTTGACGTTGGAAGCCACGACTGTGGCAGCGCAAACGTGCAGGGGAGCGGGAAATTGGGGGGTGATCGGCGATTTTAGCGTCCGGTCCTGTCAGATTACAAAACAAGCCCTATGTGCTAATGCACGTTCCGACAGTGGGGTAGCGTGTCCTGTAACCCAATTGGTACCCAATGGGGTTCTCAATTAAGGTAGGGCGGTGATCACCTAGATCCTGTAGTCGAAGGCTGAGACGCATGGGATTGAGACTTCTGCATGTACGTGCATTAGTACTGTTAGAGTTCCTTGGGAAAGATCTAGGCATACAGCTACAACGCCTTCGTCAACCCCTCATGCTCGACGATCTGACTATCATCCATTGGGACCCAGGCACATGCCACGCTGAGCTCTCCAGCCTACTGCACAGTACACATTGGTATATGTACAGGAATCCGGCATTCCCCAGTATGAAGGGTGGCGGCTTTCCTCCTGCACCCCCTCAAATCGCTAATCTTGCATCGTCAAATTTCCGATAGTTCTCTGTAAGATGGTGGTAAATCCCTCGTGCGGCTTCGAAGTCCGCGCGCTACCGATGGCGAGGACGGGACGCCTGGAGCCTCGTATCGTCCCATCGCCCCATATCCCCTAGGTCTTGTCAGTCGCGTGCAAAGCGACTTCCGGGGCTACGGCAGGCGTATGGAAAGGATACCTTGCATCACGATGAGGCTGCGGGAGCCGCCCGTGAGTGAAACGTTCTGCCAAGAGCTGTTGAGCCCTTCGGAGACAGTATGCCGGCCCTCGATACGAGCAGGCAAGGCTTGGTTCGCGACTACATTGATCTATTTCACGGGAACGGGTTGGTGAAGTCTGTGCTTCGATTCTACAACGGCATCTTCAATCTAAAGCGGCATCTAGACAGTAGCGTCAGTATTCGTTTTGGTACGTTGGGTCGCGAGTGAAGTTCGGCGGAGTATTCTCCGTGACTCCACAACTCCGTCGATTCGCGGACCCAAGCCTCACTTACGTGTGATTGTGTCAAAGCTGGGATATGACGGTATGTAGTCGGAGGTGGCGGCAAGTACTTCGTCTCCGTTTTGAGGCGGCTCTTTTTCAGGGTTTGCTTCGAAGACTAAGCTAGCGAGGTAGAACAGATGAGGTTGCTACTATGTGACCTGAGTGTTAACATTGCCTGGCAAGCTGACACCGGTCTTGAGCTCTTTCATCTTTGCAAGTGGAACTTGCTATACCGGACGTTGTCTACAAGGCGAATTTGCTCAAGCGTTTGTAGCTAAAATGGCGTATCAATGTCGACGTAAGCTTGCTGCTCGAGGATTCGGTGGCGTGCTGTAAAGTGGACTTATTCTGATGTAATTACGCTACACCGAGCCTCAATGCTTCGTCTCGTCATCAGCTTCTCCCCGGATCCCAACGAAAAGAACAGAAAGTGAGCGCAGCGTGCGCTGTGCAGAATACTGTTGAGATTGGGCTCTCTATGACTGCCAGATGTCTGGAATAGAACGGCTTCCCTTGCGTCCATGTCCATCCAGTACCAGGACTTCTGCAGGGCGCTATAAGTGACATCAAGCGTCCCGACAGCGTACGGCGGATATGTTCGCTCCAATGGTAGCAGGCCAGCATCGGCAGACACCAGGGTGGGCTTTCGAACGGCACAATTGATGGGCTCCATACGGACTGATGTCTCCGAAACTCATAGTCGAATCGATCATTGCAGTAGCCCTTTCTACCTTTCTGATATGCTCTTCTCACTTCTTTCCTGTGGATCTAAGCCTCTCTCTGTACTGGGAAAGACGCTCCATTACCCGAGTGCCGTTCCACATCTCTTCACCATCGCTCACTTCACAAGAAGGCAAACCGATCTGCTCGATAGCGAAACTTGCAGCCACGTTGCCATACATAGATGCTTTAGTAATATCTCCTGATGCTTTCCAGCCTGCAATAAACCCGCCTAGATACGTGTTGCCACCTCCTGTAGGATCGACAACCTTGGTCACCAATGATTCGTAGTATGGCGGAAGCCATATATTCTTAGCTGCATGTTGAGTGGTCAGTGAGCCATGCTCACCTGCTCTCACGATAACGATCCCGTTTCCGCTCGGTCCGATTGCCTTGCTGAACTCTAGTGCGAATGTTTCCAGTCGGTCAGGCTGGAAGCTTTCGGAAGGCGAATTCTCGAACATGGCAGACATTTCCAAATGATTGGGCGAGAACACATCCACAAGTCTGCAGGCTTCCAGGAATGAGGGTCGGTTCTGGACGGTGCAAGCTGCTGGAAATGGTTCCCACACTATGAATGGCCGGCTTTTGAACCCGTGTTGCATGCGAAGCTTTATCAGCTCTGGAATCTGTGTTTCGATAACCTCGGGTGGTGCAAGGAGATGAAATGCTTCCGAGCCAAGTAGATTTGTGTTTACCAGATCGATTGGTGATGGCTTCAACGGCTCCGTAGTATAGCGGAACTTCTTCGCTAGGCGATCGTAAGCTCCAAAAGTCTACCACTGGAACAAGGCAGTCACATACGTCCAAAGGTATCATCTTCGTACTCAAGAAGCCCTCTGGTGCTCAGTCTGTCCTGCGAGACGTTTGCGTGCAGAGTGGTCCGCCAGGCCTGTAGCTGCTCTCGCACAGCATCGGGAAAGTCGTCGCCCACAAGAGCCAGACAGCCCACCGTCTTCGATAGCGCAGGGGTCTTGAACAGGCGGCTCCCCAGCGTTGCTGTTTATCGTAAGTCTATCAGCGTTCCGGAAGCGCCACACGTGTAAGATACATACCGTAAGCTCCGGAGCCGCCCGCTACGTCAATCAAAGGCGATCGTTTTGGCAGGTGGATCTCATCAATAACCACCATACCAAGCGATACAGTACCGACAGTCGAATCGTCTTCTACATTTGAGGACCAGGTATCCATGTTGCGCAGTAGGGATAGTCAGTGCTATTCAAGAAAGGAAGGAGTGGACTACGGAAGTGGTGACATCCGCGCCAACATGACGCATGGGATGGACTGCGTTCGCGAAATGTGGAGTCATTCAAGGGCGCGTCCGGGGGGTTGACTGCATGCTGACCTATGAAGCCCTAGTGTGCCAATCTGGGCTAGTACACACACAAGCAACCTTGTATCTCTATGCCGAACGACTCGGTATTTTGGACAAGTCGCAGGGTATTCATGAGGTTCTCCACAAGAATCTGCGCGTGATATTCCTTCTCGGGGGTTCCGGTTCCGCGCGCTTAGTCCATACGGCCAACTCAGCCGCATTCTTGTGTGCGCACTTGAGCGTAGGAGACGTTCTGCAGGCAGACGCCACTCAGCCTGACAGCCCCTACACGAGTATTATCGAGGAAATGATTCGCAATGATTGCGTTAGACCGAAAGGAACCAAAGTGGGTGAGAGTGCTCCAGATGGTGAAACGACCTCGGGAGACTTTCTTCCTGGGTGATGCTTTCATAGGCACTAGACCACAATAAAACGAGGCTCGCACGCTTACCACCGGTAATCTCGCAAAACTGGACCAAGCAGTATCTTGAACGGGATGTTGGTTCTATCGACCTTCTTATAGTCTTTGACTGTTCTGGGTCTATGTTGAAGCAGCGCCTCTCGCAACGCAACAGAGCCGATGGCGATGCTGATAACATCAAACGGCGTAGCGAGACGTTTAAGGGCTACTGAGCAGTGACACTAAACAGTTGCCTTGCTTCCGAGAAATCGTACGATGATCGCAAACGAGTTGGCAATCGTTATTGGTGTGTGCACTCGCGCGTAGTGAGCAGGTGGCTGTTCTCGCCATAAGAGCTAGAGGAGCTGGGGCAAGGATTCCGCCCACGCGGACAGACTCATGCGAGCATATCGAAGCGTCGCGCGAAAAGTTTAGTATGCTATTAAAGAGGGTACCCTAATGTTGTTGATGTGGATGGTGAACAGGAACAGCCACGCGCATCGGTGTGGCTGGGATTGTGGGAAAAGGAAAGGGTGATGACGTCATTGATCATCATCTTAGAGCGCTGGTGATACCGACCGCGCGGGCAGTTCTCTCCGTGCGCTTCAACAGATACGTCCTCACGACATCTCGTTGCATTTTATGGGAATCTATGAGGACCGTTCTCTCTCGCCATTTTGCCCACTTGGTAGACGCAGACACTCCCGGGGTCCACAAGCCGCTAACGGTGCTCGATCGCATATGCTTGCTGGAAAGCTCTTCGTTTTGCCTAAAAAGGGAGAAAGAGATATTCAAATCAAGCATGCGAAGAGAAGCTGCTCAACTGGGACGGCCGGTACTTAGGTCTTGGTACTGGAGATGGCATTGACACTGCGTCACGACATGCAGTGCTTCCGACGTTGTACTACGGCCTTTGGCATTGTCTTCGACCACCATTGACCTTCAATAGTGCTATGATACTTGCTATACAGTCTTACGTGTGGTCGACAGGTCGACTCCTTGCGTTACTTCTCTTTACCATTGCTTCCATCTGCTTCTACCGCTTTCGACTGCGATCCATCCGAGCGTCTTTGTCGCGTCTGTTATGTTGACTTCCTAATCGGTCGATCGCCGCACGCTCACCGCCTTGGCGCGGTGAATGGTGAACATGAAGAGCGACGCGCTTTGACAGGGATCTCAGAGACGCCCATACAGAGATTTCCAGCCCCAGAGGCTTCTCTCTCATCTTCTCAACAACATGGCGAGCCCCGAGAAGGTCGCTGAGCTGGCGGCGCGACTGCGTAGCCTCGCTGATAGCATATCGACCCACGAAGATCCTCGCGAAAGATCCAAGACGTCGCTCCAAGAGGCTGCGGTGGAGTTGGAGCAGACTGTCACCAAGTTCCACTCACGCGGCGATGCTCACGTACTGGTGCTGATTGATGCGCATAGTCATCCGGTAAGCTGTTCCCCTGTACCCATTATCCAGAGCCTATCAGATGGATACACGACGATTTACGTTGCAAGATAAAGAAGCAAATGATGATGTAGTCGTCTAGGACGTGTTTGAGTGTTGGAGTACATCTCAACATGACGAGAACTTTTACATCATCAACTGCTAACTCTACACTCAGTTCTGTAACGACGTCTACCATGAAGCCTCCGAGCACATCTACTCCGAGTTCGAAAGAGTCAAGCCATTCAAAATCAGGAGTCGTCTTCACAAAGCGATTAAGAATTACTTGATCGGTATATCCGCAGTCGCAGCACTCGGGGCGTCTCGACTGATTGTGCGCCTCTATGCCAACTCGGTCAAGTTAGAGAATGATCTACTTCGCCCGCTTCAGCAATTTGCTGTTCAGTTTTCCTCGATTGACGCTGACTTCGACTTCATCGGCGTTCAAGACGAAGCTACGGTAGAGCTCAAAGTCTCTAGTGAGTGACACTTGAACATCTTCAAAACGACTTTCCTAACCATATTAGATGCCTTCGAAACAGCTCGGTACGACCCAAATTGTAAGCACATCTTCCTCGCTGCTTGGAGACGACCTGTATACCTCGCGATGTTGCGCACATCTTCCAAGAAAGTCACGCTAGTCCAGGGAGACGGGATGGGCGCGGGGGCCAAGTTCGTTCCTCTGCCGTGCGATTTTATCAGTATCCCGAATATCTTCGATAAGCCCGCAGGAAAAGACCCGTTCTCTTCGCTCACATCGCACTCTATGCGCAAGCGCTTCGTAGAGAAACTGATCAGCGTTGACGCTTCTTGCAAAAACGAGTCACACGATCTTTTCTACGTCGACACTCACTATGATTGCGACGTTGAACCTACTACGGTGAACGATACCACGGATGCGCATCGTCAAGAACTTCGACTTCCGTATCTCCGAGACGCAAAACGTGGCCATGTACCCGTCAACGAAGCTGGGCATCGTCTAGACTACCATATGGGGCTTCCTTCTCCCGCCGATAGACAAGCATACGCAGAGAAATTCGGAAGTGGCGCCGCCCCGCCTTGCAGATTGTTCCACCTCGGGAAAGGAAAATGCCGCTTTGGTAGCGACTGTTCCTTTGATCACTCTGAAATTAGTAGCCAGATCTACAAGGTGGTTAGATATATGACAAAGAGGAACCCTTGCGCGATGGGCAGTGATTGCCATCGTGCAGACTGCATATATGGACATGTCTGCCAGGATACGAAGTGTCTCAGTGACGAACTCGACTCCTGCAGCATGAAGAAGTTTCATGGGGTGAGTTTCGGGCCTGTGATGTGGGTACCTGACGATTTTGCTCCACGAATTCCCGCGGGTGGTGCAACAGGGGCCCTAGCTGAGGAAGGAGAGGGTGCGACTGTGGATTCTTCCTGGTACTGAGAAGTCATGATACCTATGACAGCATGTGATAGGTACGGAGCTTTGGACCGAGTCTGGCCCTGGCGCAAGTAGACCATTGTCTACTATGTAGCCTACAATGTCTTTAAATGAACACGTTCAGACAATACGAATGCGATGTAGATGTCCTGCCTATGTGTCTTACTCGCAGCCGACAAATTGTAATCTCGAAATGCGCTCCATGAAATGTGCGAAAAGACTTACCGCGCCGCTTTCCACCATGCCTTTCTTCCAATCTCATCACCACACAGCAAGCTTCTCACCCAGTGCGTTGTTCGCCCGTCATCTGCACTTCATTTTTACTTTGCGTATCTAACAATCTTGTGCAGACTCGAGAAATAGTAGTCACCGATTCATACTACGGTCGCAGTCCATACAAGATCATTTCGCCAACAAGCAATTACAAGTTCCCAGCTTCTACCTTGATTTCACCCTTGTTCGGTCTCGAGAAGGCTTTGACGCACTGACTTAGTATGAGGGAGACCGTAATCCTTCACGCAGATTGCTGCCTAAGGGTCACACACTCTTCCATTCTTTGCGCCTGCGTATAAGACCTCTGTCAATCACACTCCTTCCCGAACTATGACCAGTCGCTGTGTACTCAACCCCTAGACCTGGCGGCAAAATGTCACAACAATCGAGTCGTCAGGAGGCTCCCAATGCGGTCGAAGAAGCAGTAAGTTCCACTCATACCATGTTATTGTATGGCAACACTGACACTTCAAGGACTTGATCTCGGCCACGATCAACGAGTACATTGCCGAGAAGCGCCGCGGATGCGCCACATTCCACGCGAAAACGGTCGGGCTCAAGGTGTCCCCCCGAAAGATCCAACAGGTTTCTTCCGGCTACTATAGCTTCTTTGGTACAAGCCCAGGAACCCCTCGCGTCAAGATACGCTATGATCTATCGTTGTCGAACAAGTCAGACATAGCAGACATTTCTCCTCTAGCATGTGTCCAGGTCCGCGGGCGCCGTAGCTGGCGTCCTCTACGTGATTGGGTTGAGGTTCGGTGCAAATGTAAAGGCTTTAGCAACGAGACCGGGCTTGTACGTGCGACGTGAACGTTACTCAAATACCAGGCTGACACGACTCTCAGCTCGTTGACTACCGTATGTTACAGGGCCGTCTCCTCGAGTTGCGCAAGATCGACTTCGATGTATGGAGGAAGACCTCGATAGCCGACATGTCCTTGGAGTCGCTTCAAGACGGAACCTTCTTCGCGCGCCATTCATCTGGGGAACTTGGCAAGACAAATGCATTACAGATACGCCGACGACCCTCATTGGTTCTTCCATGCGGTCCAGTAGCAACCTTATTGAGCGACGTAGAGATTGGGCTTTCACATCAATGGGTTTCATTCGGAAACTGGCTCACGGCAAAGCTCGCGACACTACCTCCACGTGCTGTTGACAACAGCCAACAGTGCTGGTGGCAGGCGAATGGCCGCGCTTTTAGGTTGTTGGACTTGCCTTTCGAACTTCGCTCGATGATATACAGACAGCTTCTTGGGCTTTACATATGGCCTCACAAAAAGTTAGGATACCATGAACACCCGTTGCGAAGTCCGTTGAGAATCTTCGGCCAGGCAACGTATACAGCGTACACTAACCGCTGTATGGCATTCGCACGGACTTCTCAGTACTCTCTCGATCCCATCGGAAATGAACGACCTTGGGCGTCGATCAACACCAACATACAGTACATCTGTAAGCAGGTAAGAGCCGAGTTCCGCAAGTTTACCGTGACATCGACTGTGCCGCATTTTCGGGATCCCTGGACGCTCATAGAGGTGTTGCCTAGTTTGCAAGGCAAATGGCTCCGTCACATCTCTCTCGGTTTTCCAAACTCCATTTACTTCAGGTTTCTGGGCTATGATGACCAACGCCAAGTGGAGTGGCCAGGTCAAGCTTTGATTCGAGTCTTTGGGAGGATCCCGACGCTAGCTCGCCTCCATTTGCATTTCCAGGTTTCTCTCCCCCGATGGATAGAGAGGGTAGGTATCGAGGATCAATTCTTCTCCCACGACCCTTGGGTTCGGTCGTTGCCGAGCCATCCTACTGACCTGATCTCCTGTCAGAAGACACTACTGGATTGGTTCTTCACACTGGCGCTGGAGGACCTTCGACAGATACCATCCGTAACTATGTCCGGACATGTGAAACTCAGCACACGTACTAAGTGGGAGGCAATACTGCATGATGAGCGCAATGGTACGCTTCACAACCTTTCCGCTGAAAGGCTGACAATCATGTCAGATTACTTGCGGCGACCTTTGTAAGTCTTGTTTCCCCCCAGCTTGAGACTGTTGTTGCCGGTGTGTGTTCTGACCATCTCTTACAGTCCTCCTGTGTGCTTCTGCAAGCGCCCGTGCCACTGGTGGAAGGAATTCGGTCCGCCTGCCTACGGCGAGATAGCTAACTTCGAGTTCCCATGGCCTACAGGCCGCATGAATTACGACCCCAAAGTACACGATCGGTTCGTATGCGAAGATTGAGGCACAGAACACTTAGAGGGATAGGCGGTAGAAGGACTGGGATACCTGGAGACAAACATGCTCTTTACGACCCGCGCCGCTGAAGCCTGAGGCGTAGTGAGGTTGCGCGATAGGCTAGACACAACGAAGATATTATCAGTAGAACAGCAGGAGCTCCCTGTCGTGATGCTGGACAGTCAATGTTGGTGTCGTAAGCTCGGCGTTCTAGTCCCCTCGTGGCGGCTTCCCCTTATTTCCCCGCATCGCACTAGTGACGTAGCGCCAAATAGCGTGGCTCGGCAGTTACACAAGTCGTCAAACCTCACTCACGATCACCAAACCATCACTCTTTCGATCAAATTCCCGTGCGGTCAGCTTAACCCTCGCGTGAACTTTCGCAGCGTGGCTGAGCGTGCTGCAAAGACATTTGCCGCCCACTTCATCCGCTGCCGCTCGATCCCGGAACCTGGGTCGAGATCACAGCGCTGCGAACATGGGTATGTATCGACGTACCAGGGCTAGACAGAGGCTAATACGCGATCAAGGCTCATGACTGGACAGCGCGCGCTGATATGTGCCGTAGATGATGTGTTACGAACGATGAGACGGCACGCAGGTCCTTCACGTGTGGGAGATGCGGAGAACCTGGCTGTTGGAAATCAGGCTGGGCGATAAGTAACCCAGACGCTCAGCGGAGGATCGGCCGGCCGTTGTCTACACATTTTAGCAACGTTTTGTCTTGGATTCTGCTCCGACTACAATTGCCGGATCACGAGAGGTGCTCACGGTGCTATCCTGCCGACATCTTCACGCGCTCCATGGCAAGCCACGTCTGACTTGCACTCCGGCTGGTTTTCGAAGTCGAATCGCAATAGCACCGACATTCCAGTTTGAGTCAGAATAGGCCCGCGAAGTGCGCCTTTTCGTACAACAAGCGATACAAGTACCTCGCTGCGTCCTTGGTCTGAGCACAACCATTGCCTCTCACACACCAGTTGCTTTGATCACGATGGAGGCACACGACTATAACGAAGATGTAAGTTTCCAAGAGGATTGATACCGCCCAGTACTAAGCGACGCAGGAACGCCGGCAGCTCGAAGCCGAGCTCCACACAGAAATCCTTCCCGGCACGGAGGTCATGGCAGATGTAGGCTCACACCACTTCGTCAAAGGAGCGCATCGCCAAGTCCTCGTTCCTCAACCCAGCGATGATCCCAACGATCCTCTCAATTGGAGTACCGGTTGGAAGATGGCATGCATCATCGCGGCATCAATGGCCACGTTCACGCAAGGATTTGGTCCATTGGCTCTAGCACCGATGTTTCCAGCACTGATAGAAGCTTTCAACACCGATTTGGCCGGAGCAGTTCAATTCACCGGTGTTTGCATCTTGGTACTGGGATTTAGCAACTTCATCTGGTGAGTACCACCAGATCATGATGCAGACGCCAAAGACTAATGGGTAATGCTAGGGTTCCAATCAGTACATCTTTCGGACGTCGCCCGGTTTATCTCGCATCCCAACTCATCAACTTCGGTACCTCGATATGGCGCGCCAAGGCCAACTCCTACAACTCGTTCATGGGCGCGTGTATTCTCAACGGCATCGGCGCTGGACCGGCTGAGACCATCATGCCCGAGATCATCGCCGACATCTTCTTCTTGCATGACCGTGGGAAGTGGAATACTCTTTACTGGGTAGTCTACATGGGCTCGCTGATGGTCGGTCCCATCGTGTCTGGATCAATGACTGAGACGGTCGGCTGGCGCAGCTTCTGGTGGCTCAATACTGGCATCCTCGGCCTTTCATTCTTGATGGTGGTCTTCATGTTCCCAGAAACAAGGTTCAAGCGCGCATTGCCCGAGCACTTGGGACAGAAGAAACCCAGTTCACTAGAAGAGAAGACACGAGCGACTACCCAGGAAGACATCAACCACTCCGACAGCGAGAAAGAGACAAATCCAATCCAGCACATCAACACAGCTAACTCCATCCTGCCAAACACGGCGAGCCTAGAGATGTCCGAGACAGCTCAGCGAGACCCCTTCCTTGGCCGTGGCAAACCTGGCAAATGGCAGTGGAAGATCTTCCAACCAAACGCCCACCCGTTCCGTTCCATCTTCCTCGACCTTTGGATTCCCTGGAAGCTATTCGCCTTCCCCATTGTCGAATTCGCCGCTTTCGTCGTCAGTTGGTCGTGCTCCAGCTTCCTCACGATCAACCTCACACAAAGCCAAGTCCTCGCCCTACCTCCCTACAACATGAAGCCCATGACTGTTGGCTTTACAAACTTCGCCATCATGATTGGAGCATTCATCGGACTCTTCACTGCTGGCCCACTCAGCGATTGGGTGTCTGCAAGGAGCACCAGGAAGAACAATGGTATACGTGAGCCGGAGATGCGGTTGCCAGCTATGATACCATATGTCGTCATCATGTTCATCGGCAATATTGTCGTCGCAATAGGCTATGAGCGCAAGTGGCCCTGGGAAGCCATCATCGTCATTGGCTACACATGCGCTGGTATACAAGTTGCAGCGCTACCTGGTATCGTCAGTACATATGCTGTTGACTCGTACAAGCCCGTTGCAGGCTCTTTATTCGTCGCTATCACCGTCAACAAGAATCTTTGGGGCTACGGATTTGGCAAATTCATCACGCCGTGGAGTGAAGAGGTTGGGTAAGACGCGTAAATCTGATCATGTAGGAGCATTGCTAATTGCAGTAGATTTATCTCGCCCATTATGACAAACGCAGCTCTTGTTACGCTCTGGTGCTCGTTCGGTATTCTCTTTTGGTGGAAAGGCAAGACGTTCCGTCGCTGGAGCAAGAACAGCAGCGTCCACCGACTAGGCGCTTTGTAGTGCGCATCGCACCTCTTTATCTGCAAGTCTTCCTGGCAGCACCTTCCCTGCTCATAGCTCTCAGCCTGCAATCACCTGCAATCCTCGACCCTTACTCATCTTCCTTCTCCCTCGCTCTCTTACTCCCAGGTGCCGCACTCTTCTTCACATCATCAGCAATCCACTCCGACTCATCCGCCTTGCCCTCCAACTCCTCCCATCCATGCACCTCCATCTCCTCCAGCACCTCATTATTCTGCCTCAACCACTGCCAATGCAGCAGAACCTGCCACACCCTCTCCAGCAGCGCGATACCACTCAACCCCGCCACCTCTTCATCAGTCAACAGCAGATAATCGTCCAGGGCCGTAACATGATGCTTCATCCTCGCTATCACACCATGCGTCCCATACCCTCCCGCCGGCGCCGCAATCACCGTCGCAATGATATTAGGCAGCCGCGCCCTTCTATGCGGAAACCTCGCAGGGAAACTCACGGGCACTGGATCAGGCGCCGGTATCCCCGTCGGCGGCACCGAAGCAACCGCAACAGGCATCTCGCGACCCGTCGCCCCATGCTCCATCTTCCACTCCCTCAACATATCATACCGCAGCACCAACCGCATAGCAAGCTGTTTCTTCCGATCATAAAGCCTGGCCATAAGCGCCCTATTCTGCACAATCGCCTCCGGCAACAACGTCCGCGTGATCAGGAAAAGTAGCTCCTCACATAGATACCGGAAACGACCTTGGGGGCGGTCTTCAAGCGCACTGAACACAGCAGGCCAGTTTGTCTTACTGTCCACTGGCCGGAGTAACGTATCAATGAGCGGATGCAATCCTTTCGTTCCAAGATTACTGTGAACCCGGCCCCAGACTTGTATCGCATCCAACCCCGCTTCCAGCGTGCCTGCAAACGGAGTTGGGACTGTGGGCGCGTAGTGGTAGTGTAAGGATAATTTTGCGGCTGCTGCTTCTTTCCGAGCGGACTTTCCAGGCGTGTCTTGTTCGAGCAGCGAGGAAGGCGCATCGCTGACAGTGCTGTTGGCGCGTACGCCGCGGCCGCTGCGCGTGGGTGGTGGTGGGGGCGTGGGACGCGGTGTGTGGAAGGAGGCTTGGGAGTCGGAGAGTATGCTTTGTGCGCGGTCGACACGTTGGAAGCTGCGGCCGCGGTTGCGGTTGCGGTTTGGTGTTGCCATTTTGGGTGCGCGGACTGCAAGAGCGAGCGGGCGAGTGTGGAGGTGATGATTGGGGATAGGTGGGTAAGATTTCGAATAGAGTATTTTGAGTATCTGTGATGTTGTGTGTAAGTGAGAGTGCGCGTTGTTATTGGTATGACGTGTGTGATTGTGGTAGATTGTGTGGAGGTGAGCGTGAAAAGGCAGTGAAAGAGGATGTGATATTTTCTGTCATGATAGTGAGAGGCAGGTGCGTGTTTGCGAGGCAATTGGAGTGGCTTGCTGTCTTCTCCTAAACCATTAGATCTTCTGCAGAGGTTTGACACAAAGAGCATTCAACGTGAACTGTACTTATGATTAGATTTGTATCAGTCTGCATAGAAGACACCACAGCGCAACGAAGTGCTAATACTTTGTAATAGATCCTTCGATTCAAAGAGTAACTTTACCATACTCGCCGCCTGAGACTACTCGCATCCACCACTCAACCCTTGATAGCCTGCTGTTGCATCTTCTCACCACTCTCATTCGCAGGCCCAAGACCCATCTTCGCCGGCCCACAAAGCTGCATACCATCCTTACTAAACCTGCTCCCATGGACCGGGCAATCCCAACTCTTCTCAGTCGAGTTCCAGCAGACCACACCCTTCAGATGCGGGCAGAGCGCGGAGAACTTGTGGATCTGACCACCTTCATCCTTGTATACAGCGAGCGGGTTGGTGGGGTTAGTGTTGAGAACACCGCCCTCACCGGGTACGAGGTCTTCAATGTCTTTGATGTCGGACTGGGCGAAGCGCTTGTACTGGGCGTTAATCTGGAGGTCGTGGCTGATCATGCTGGTTGCTGACTTTGCGATTGAAGCTAGACGCTTGGGGTCGTAGGCGGCGATCCAGGAGTTGGGTTGTTCGGTGATGGAGTCTGCGATGAGCTTTCCGGCGAGGACGCCGTGGGTCAGTCCGTTGCCAGAGTCACCGGTGATGATGTAGATGTGCTTGTTTCCTTGGTTCTTGCCGATAAAGGCCATGTGGTCGACCGGCTCGAAGACCTGACCACTCCACTTGTAATCGATTGTGGTTGCTTGTGGGAAGCGGGCGCGTGTCCATTCTTCAAGCTCCTTGAAGGGTGCGACGGTGTCGGCTTGGCCAACTTTGTGGTCACCTCCACCCACGACCATGTAGTCATCCTTCTCGTCGCACTCGGTGAGACGTATGTACTTGTAGATTTCAGCCGAATCGTAGATCAGGGCGTCTTCGACTGAACCCTTGGGTACGCGGATGGCGATACAGTAGGTGCGGAAGTACTCCTCTTCGGCGATGACAGAGAGTTTCTGAAGCGGGACACAGGTAGCCTCGACAGCATCGGCACACTTGATGGTGTTTCCGTCGGCTGTCTTGACGTAGACATCCTTGTGGCCCATGCCCATGATCTCTACGCCCTTCTCCTGCACGTCGATGCATCGAGTGTTGGTGTAGCACGAGAAGTTGGACTGCTGCTTGAGAAAGTCGAGGACACCAACAACGTACTTGGTGGGATGGAACGTCGCCTGCTGTGGGTATATGACGGCATCGCTTTGATCAATGCTGCCTTCCCATCCCTTGAGCTTGAAACCCTCCTTGTATTCCGTGGGGATACCGAGCGCCTTCGCCTTGTCGCCGTCCTCAATGAGAGTCTTGATATCGCTGGCATGGTCTTTTGAGTCTTTGGGGTATTGCGAGAAGTCGTAGCCGGGAAGATGGCGGTACTCGCACTCAATGCCCAGCTGCTTGGAGATCTCGCCGACGCGGTTGAGCGCCCAGGTATGTGATTCGGCGGCCGCCTTTGCGCCCTTGTCCCCGTGCTTCTTCGCAATCGCAGTGTAGCCGTCGTCTAGGTCGTTGGCGAGATGACCGCTGGTACGTCCAGTTTCACCTGAAAGTACCTCTCGGCGTTCGATCAAGACGACGTTCAGGCCACGAGTGACCAGCTCATAGGCAACTGAGACACCAGAGATGCCGGCGCCGACAATGCAGACGTCCGTCTCGAGGTCCTTGTCAAGCTTGAGGAACTTGGGGATGCTCTTGTACGGCAGGTGGTGAATCCAGACAGGGTCCGTCTCTCCGCTCGTGTACATGAAGTGTTGTGGGCTCGAGGTCTTGGCTGTAGCTACTGGCGCGTCGCCGCTCATGGTCGCCATGTTCGCTCGTTGTCCTGCGAAAGCGTATTTCGGTGTCTGCTGTAGGCGGGGCGCGAGTCTGCTATATGAAGCTAGACGTATGGAGGATATTCGTGCGGTGTTTCGTAGGAGAGAGGTACGGAAGAGACGAGGGGCAGACAGCGACATGTCTTAACGGTAGGTAAGGAGCGCGTGTGCTGAACACGTGGAGGTACATGGTGTTGTATATGCCTAAACTGTCAATAATCATGACGGGTTCATGTAATTGCCTGCGCATCATTGGCCGCGTGCGTCGCGTGAGCCAAAACGAAGCATTGGCGATGGTGTAGCATTGACGGTGCCATGACGTCTCTTGTGCAACTCCGAGGAGCGTCAGGTTGTGGGCGACAGGAACGACTGTCAGCCGGGGAAAGAGTCTGAGCAAGAGGTATCAAATAATTCAGGAAGTCGGTAACGTGTACACAGCTAAAGAGAAGCAGTTGCCCAAAGGCAATGATGAAGTCGCGATAAGAACAATGATGTTTGCGCGAAACTGCAACACGCTAAATTTCATCCGCGGCACGTCAGCACGTGACTTAGTGCTTACCTCCCCTCCGCGGGCTTCAACAAACCCTCCGCAACATCCTTCAACACGAACTTCTTGATCTTACCGCTGCCCGTCAACGGCACCTCGGCATCGCAGTCCTCGCCCAGCCAGAAGATATGCACAGGCGCCTTATGCCTGCCCAGCACCTTCCGCACCCAGCCCTGCACCTCAGCCAGATCTGGTTTATCCGTGTTGGGCTCGTGGAGGAGGAAGGCAGCGGGCACTTCGACGTAGCGAGGATGTGAGACGCCGACGACGATTGCGCGGGCGATGGATGGGTGTGCGACGAGACGTTCTTCGATTTCGAGGGGGTAGATGTTTTCGCCTCCTGATCTTAAGTTAGTACGCAGGCTTCAAGGGTTGTGCTAACGGAAGAGAGACACATACCTCGGATGATGATATCCTTGAACCGACCGGTGATGGTGCAGTATCCATCCACATCTAGAACCGCCTCATCACCAGTATGTAGCCAAGGCTCGCCATACTCGTCGCGAACAATGAGCTCCGCCGTCTTCTCAGCATTCTCCCAGTATCCGCGACAGACTTGGTATCCAGCGACGCAGAGTTCGCCTCTGACGCCGATCGGCACGACGCGATCCTGATGGTCCACGATCTTGACGCGCGCGTGTGGCAGCACCGTTCCGACAGTAGTCAACCGCGCATGCAGCGAGTCAGTCGTATGTGCGTTGAACACCGTCGGGCTAGCCTCGGTGAGCCCATACGAAGACGTGAAATCCGACATGTTGAGCTCGTTGACCATGCGCTCCATCAGCCACTTCGGCACTGGACTGCCTGCCACGATGCCTGTCCTCAGATCGCTCGTCCAGCCTTCCGGCCGTGGTACGTCCATTATAGATTCCATCATAGCTGGTACACCGTGTAGGGCTGTGCAGCGTTCTGCGTCGATAGCCTGCATACAGGCAACTGGATCGAATTGTTCGGCTGGGAAGACGATCTTCGCGCCGTGTGTGAGACAAGCGAGGAGACCGAGGGTGAGACCGAAGCAGTGGAAGAGAGGTGGTGGACAGCAGAGGGTGTCGTTCGGTGTGAGGTCCATGCGGTCGCCGATGAAGCGGGAGTTATTGATCAGGTTGCTGAAAAAACGTCAGAAGAGCGCCATCTCGCGGATTGGACTGACTTACTGGTGCGTCAACATGGCAGCCTTCGGGTTACCAGTACTACCGCTCGTGAACTGCAGGTTTGCGACATCATAAGGACTTATTATGCCGTCGAAGATATCTAGGATGTGCTCGGGGATGTATTGGGCTTCTTCGATAAGGGAAGAGTAGGAGATGAAGCTGTCGTGTTGGCCGCGTATCAGGCACACGGTCTTGAGGTCTGGTAGTGTGGAGCTGATATCGTCTTGACTGAGCTTCTCAAGCAACGGACCATTGTCGAAGCGAGCGATCGTAGGTGTAGTAAACAGTATCCTGCATTCTACCATGGTCAGTCTTTCTTCCATATCATACGTCAGGTCAACTCACTGGTATGCTTCAGCGCATACTCCATCTCCGTCGCCGTATACGTATTGTTGAGGGTAACGCAGATACCCCCTACTCTCGCGCACGCGAAGAAAAGCGCAATGTACTTCTCGCAGTTCCCGCTCATGATTCCTATTCTATCCCTCGGTCGCACTCCCTCTTTTAGTAGAGCTCTTGCCAGTAAACTTGACTCCTCCCATAGCTTCTTGTACGTCCACCGCGCACCTGTCCAGGGTATGACAACAGCTTCATTGTCTGGGTAGCACTCTACTTGCCGCTGGAGCAGTTGCGAGAGTGTTAGTTGGAGTAGTGGTGGGTCCAATGGCCCTGCGACGATCGAGAGGTTGGGATATGGAGGTAGGATGTAAGGGTCGATTTGAAGTAGTGTTTGGTTCAGACGTTGTAAGGCGTCATTCCGCGATTGGTCGTATATCTCTCCCATCTCGATGTGTGTATCTCGCTCCCTCACAGGCAGCGTCTCGATGTACTGTGGTCGAAAGCGGAAAGCGATCCGAATGCTACCCCAAAACTAAGAGTTCGCAACGGAGGGTATGAGCTGGCGACTAAGCTGATGGAAGGCGTAGAAAGAAAACGATAGAGAAGCAATAGTATACAACAACACCCAAAGGCAATCAATCACTCGACGATGAACTTTGTCGGTAGCAACTTCAGCCATAGCACCCAGCGATAACAACAGCTCAATGACGGTGCTTCGCCGATGGCTCGGATCTAATCTCACAAACAAGGCAACCCATCTCGCCCTCCAAACGCGCCGTCTCCGGAGAGCCCTCAAACGTCTTGT